GTCTCTTCTCCTGCCTTTAAACTCATGTGCATTTAACTTGCATGAGAGGCAGCTTTCAGCCAGGATTCTGTGACATCTACTAGCAAATTTGCTGGCCGGCCAGCTGGCTGGCTTCTGTGCTGCTTGATAGCTGAAGCTTATTGGGTGAGTCACAACAATTACCCAAAATACAGGAGATACAATAAAAGTACACATAATATAAAACAGCATAAAATTCCAGTGTACAAAAATAGTTAATAGTTTAACATCTAAAACATTTTCAGTAAAACTAGACCTAATTAAAATGGCTGACATAACTGTTCATATGCTATTAAATGCATGGGAATAGAAAGCAGTTTTGACTTGATGTCCGAAAGATGACAATGTTGCCACCAGGCAGGTCTCAGGATGAAGGCCAGTCCTCAACTGAGTGGCCACCGCTGAAAAGACCCTCCTCCTCCATGTGTCTCTTTCTGGTCTCCTTTGGAGGGAGCAGTTGGAAGAAGGACCCACATTCAGATTGTAAGGTCCAGGTAGATTGAAACTGAGAGTGGTCATTCAGGTCTTGTGATCCCAAGCCATGTAGGGCTTTATAGGTTAAAACCAGCTCCTTGAATTATGCTTGGAAATTTATAGACAGGCAGGGCAAGTGAGGCAGAACTGGTGTTGTGTTTGGATGTTCTGGTCCCAGTTATTACTCTGGCTACTGCCTTTTGCAGAAATCCTATTTCTTAATAGATGCCAACTTCAGAATGCTACTGAGCAAAACTGGGCATGTCAAAAATAAGCACAAATTGTGGAAGTACTTTCAGATCAGGACTGAGGCATTGCCTTTGTTTGACTTAGCGTTCTAGATTCTTTTCAAGAAGGATACAATCAAGTAATCTAGGCTAGTCTTTCCAACCTGGTGCCTTCCAGTGTTGAACTATATTAATGCCTTAATTCCCAGCAAGCTTGGCTTATGGCCATTGGCCATACTGGCTAACAATTATGGGAGCTGCAATCGCCAACACATCTGGAGAGCATGAGATTGGGGAAAGCTGATCTAGACAGTTGTTGTATATGGCTGAACCTTATTTCAAGAGCTGCTTTATTACAGTAAAGAATGAAGAAAAGTGCAAGAATGAAGAAAAGTCCATCTTGCCGGTGGCCAGCGAGTTCTCCGCGGCTGCCCTCGCTCCCCTCCCCCGCCGGCATTGGGTGAGAGCTATGCCGGATTGGGGGCAGGGTGCAGGGATGAGCACTGGCATAACTCGCCGGGCCACGGCCGGAACTGGGCCTCCACCCCATCGACTCCCTGCCGCCGCCACCGAAGACCGGGAGATGCTCCGGAGGACAGCTGACGCCGCCATCGGCGGCCATCGCTGGACCCAAGGCCGGCGGACGTCGCGGCCAGACTGTGGAGTGCAGGCCCGACATCGCCTGCCGCCGCCGAGGATGCCATCTTGCCGGCGGCTGGCGAGTTCTCCACAGCTGCCCTCGCTCCCCTCCCCCGCTGGCGTTGGGTGAGAGCTACGCCGGATTGGGGGTGGGGCGCGGGGACTAGTGCCGGCATAACTCGCCGGACATGGCCAGGGCCAGCGGCCAAAGGGTGATGGCCAAGGGGTGGTCACCACCATTTGGAGCTGTTCGGGGCCATGCGGGGGCTGGGTTGGCCAGGAACTTTGTTAGTTGGCCGGCTGGTGGGAATTGTAATTGTGTTGGGGGGTTGAGGGGGTGTTTTTAAGGGTTTTTAACATGGTTTTAGTCTAATTTTAATGGATTTGTCTCTGGCTTCGGTTATGGGGCTGCCTGGGGAGCGCATGGGCGCTGCCATTGGGGTGGTCATGGGCAATGGATGTTATGGTGTTGGGGGTCTAACGAGTCTGTGTAGAAGAAGGGACAGATGGTTGACACCTGTTCCCTCTTCTGGTTATTCCCCCAACCGGAGGATTCCAGGTAGGCTTGTTAACCACCCCCCAGGCCTGTCGGTGCTGTTGCTTAATGCCAGGTCAGTCCATAATAAATCATCACTCATCCATGATTTGATTGTGGATGAGGGGGCCGACCTGGCTTGCATCACAGAGACCTGGGCGGGAGGGTGGGATGTCTCCCTCTCTCAACTGTGCCAACCCGGGTATCTGGTCCAGCACCGACTACGTCTGGAGGGGAGGGGAGGGGGGTCGCTTTGGTTTACCAAGCCTCTGTTTCCCTCACGGGGCTTTCTGTTCTCTCGAGGCCAGGTCTAGAGTGCCTCTACTTGGTGTTGGGCAACCAAGACAGATTGAGGATTCTGTTGGTGTACCGTGCACCCTTCTGTCCAACAGACTCCCTGCCTGAGCTGACGGAGATCGTCTCGGATTTGGTGAAGATTCCCAGGATGCTGGTCCTGGGGAACTTCAGTCTCCATACCGAGACGGTTATGGTCGGGGCGGCTCAGGACTTCATGGCCTCCATGACGGCCATGGGGCTGTCTCAACATGTCATTGGCCCGAACCATGAACGTGGAAACACTCTGGACCTGGTTTTCTTGACGGGGCAGGAAGAGGGGGATCTGAGGGTGAGGAATTTGTGTCTGACACCCCTGTCATGGTCAGATCACCTCCTCCTAAGGTTTGAGCTCAAGAGCGGCCTTTCCCTCTGTAAGGGTGCAGACCCGATTGTGTTGGTTCACCCCCAGAGCCAGATGGATCCAGATGGATTCCTGAAGGCCCTGGGAGAATTCCCGGTTGATAAGTCTGGTGCTCCTGTTGATGCCCTGGTCAAACTGTGAAATGGGGAGATGACCAGGGCTATTGACATGATCGCTCCTAAGCATCCTCTCCCACCTGGCAGACTCTGGTATACCTGAATTACGGGCGATGAAGTGGGTTGGGAGACGTCTAGAGCGTAGGTGGAGGAAATCACAGGATGAATCTGACCGAACACATTTGAGAGCTCATTATTGAGCCTATGCTGTGGCAGTGAGGGCGGCGAAAAAGAAATTCTTCTCCGCTTCCATTGCCTCCTCACAATGCCATCCAATGGAGCTCTTTCGGGTGGTACAAGGGCTGGTTCATCCAGAGCCCAAGAAAGACCCTGTGCCACCCTCAACGGCCCACTGTGATGACTTTGCCAAGCATTTTAAGGAGAAAATCGCTCAGATTCGTCATAAGCTGGACTCCACTAGTGACTCAGAGCCTTCTGGGGAGGTACCAATGTTGCTGTCTGGTCCAAAATTGATGGATGAGTTTCCGTTGTTGAGGCCTGATAATGTGGACAAGGTGCTCGGAAAAGTATGTCCCACCACCTGCTTTTTGGACCCTTGCCCATCTTAGCTACTTAACAAAGCCAAGCACAGGATAGGGGCCTGGATCCTGGAGGTTGTCAACGCCTCTCTGAGGGACAGCCGGGTACCTGCCCCTTTAAAGGAGGAGGTAGTCTGGCTAGTCCTAAAGAAGGCATCCCTGGATCCAGAGATGGCCACCAATTACAGACCGGTGGCAACATCCCGTTCTTGGGCAAGGTGTTAGAGCGGGTGGTGGCGGGTCAACTCCAAGCACTCTTGGATGAAACTGATTATCTGGACCCATTTCAGTCCGGCTTCATACCCGGGTATGGCACTGAATCTGCCTTGGTCGCCCTGTATGATGACCTGTGCAGGGAGAGAGACGGGGAGTACGTCCCTGTTGGTCCTCCTGGACCTCTCAGCGGCTTTCGATACCATCGACCATGGTATCCTTCTGGATAGGCTAGCAGGATTGGGAGTTGGAGGCACTGCTCTGCGGTGATTTCGCTCCTATCTCAATGGCTGATTCCAGAAGGTGGTGCTTGGGGACTATGGCTCTGCGCCGTGGCAGCTATGCCATGGAGTTCCACAGGGATCCATTTTGTCCCCCTTGCTATTCAACATCTACATGAAACTGCTGGGAGAGGTCATTAGGAGGTGTGGGCTGCGGAATCATCAGTATGCTGATGATACCCAGCTCTACCTCTCATTTTCAACCAGTCCAGGTGAGGCAGTGGATGTACTGAACCAGTGCCTGGCCGAGGTAATGGGCTGAATGAGGGCCAGTAAACTGAAGCTCAATTCAGACAAGACGGAGGTCCTGTTGGTAGGCGGTTCGGTCTTCGGGGTAGGGGACCTGTACCTTGTCCTGAATGGGGTTGCATTCCCTCTTAGGGACAAGGTTTGCAGCTTGGGAGTGCTCCTCGACCCAGAGCTGTCGTTAGAAGCTCAGGTGACTGCAGTGGCGAGGAGTGCTTTCCTTCAGCTTCAGCTGATCCATCAGCAGCATCCCTACCTGGAGAACGATTGCCTGGTGACAGTGACACATGCATTGGTAACTTCCCAATTAGACTTCTGTAACGCACTCTACATGGGGCTGCCCTTGAAGACAGTCCGGATACTTCAATCGGTGCAAAACAGAGCTGCCAGGTTACTGATGGGGACTGGGCATTGTTCTCATATAACCCCAGTCCTCCGTCAGCTTCACTGGCTCCCCATTGAAGTCCAGGCCCAATTCAAGGTGCTGGTTATCACCTATAAAGCCCTTAATGGCTTGGGACCTGGTTATCTAAAAGAGCACTTGCGTACATATCTGCCCTCCCGCCCCTTGAGATCAGCGGCAGAGGTCCTTCTCCGGGAACCCTCCGTGAAAGATATTAGGAGGGTGATCACCCGGAGGAGGGCCTTCTCTGCGGTGGCGCCCCACCTATGGAATGCGCTCCCCAGAGAGGTCCGCCTGGTGCCGTCGTTATTTGTTTTTTGGCGCCAGGCCAAGACCTTTTTATTTAAACTTTATTTTAATTGTTGAGTTTATTTATTGATTATATATCTATGCCGGATGTCTCCAGATTTTTAATGTAATTGTATAGCTATTTATTTGTATTGGAAGCCACCCCAAGGCTTTTGCGAATGGGGTGGCATACAAGTGCACCAAATAAATAAATAAATAAATAAATTTATAAATAAATAAATAAGATAATGGCAGAACAAAGATTTATTTTAAGCTGGTTCAGTTCTGCTTTGCCTGGTTTGAGTGAACTATTAAGGAGGGTTTAATATGCAAGCCTGAAAGTCCCTTTGAAAGAAGCCCTTTTCAAAGAAAGCAATGTGGCATTGAGCACATGTCTTTTAAGGTTCCCCAGAGCCCTGACTGGATTTGTCTGTCTCCTACACAACCAATAGATAAAATAAGATTTCTCAACTCCATAGTTTGACTTAAATAAACCTGAAATCTCTTTATCATACTAATCAGATTAGACCTGGTATCTCCCCTGCCCCTGGTCACTTATAATGACCTTGGGTTGCACCACCTCTAGGTTAAAAAAAGTCTATTGTGTTTTACATTATTTTTAGCTGAGATAGTTAAGCATTCAAACAGGCACTCTGGTGCATTCCAGATGTTCATAATGGGCTCCCATAATCTCTGGTCATTGGCAATGCTCTCTGGGCCTCTGACAGCATTTTTAGTCCAGAACATTAGATATAGATAAAAACAATGACTCACAGAAAGCTGTACTACTTTAAGGAGGTGTGTGGGTTTCTTTGCAACAAACCCTTCAAGCACTGAATAATACTCATTCCTTCAATTCTTTTTGCCTCTCTTGGTTCTCAGAGAGAAGTGCTAGGAGGAGGGTTACCCCCAGAAGTGACTGTGTACCTTCAGGAGTGAAGAAACACACAAGCTGGCTCTGTTTCTTCCAGTGCTGGTGAAATCCCCTGTTTGACATACCTGCAGCCCCATTTCCCTCCAATCAGAAATAACTTCTGCTGTTCCTAAAGGTAATAGCCCAAGCCCCCTGATTTTGCACTAAAATTACTAAGCTTATACTTTAGTAGGCTTCATGTTTTCTTCAGCAAATAGTGCCAACCATATAGAATGCCAGAGAGCAAAATGTACCAAAAAGTTCACTCTCTACAATGAATGATCAAGTTCAGTGTCCCCAAGATTTGATCAGTTGCTAGTCTCTATTTTAAAGACTTTGCATCCAAAACCTAGAGATACCCCCTGCCCCAGCCTTTTGTTCCACCTACATTTACTCTGAAACTTACTGAGCAGGATTAATTTTATTGCTCAACAAATCCCTCAACATCTAAAGGGGCAATATGCAGCTACCCTTCTGCATGCATGAATGACTTGAATTCAAGCAGTACTCTTTAAGACAAGCCAGGCATTCCAGACATGCTCTTCAGATAAAGGTTATTATAGTCTTTGTCTTTGAAGTGGTCACTTTTCAATTAAACAAATACAAATGTATCAAAAATGTTAATTCCCTATGTCTTCCTCTTACGAAAATATAGCATTTGATGCCCAGACATAATTTCACAGTGTTTTCTGGTTTTCCATGGTATTTTCCTAAGCAAGGTTATGGCTATGAACAACAGATTTTTAAAAAATGATTATTACTTGTCAGGATGGCATATTAGATGATCATCACCAGTTGTCTTGTATTACATAGGCTTCCACCTCATTCAATAGGGAACAGTTTTAAACCAGGTGGGGGAAAAAGAGGGGCTCTTGGGATAGAAGGTAAGCCAGACAAGGATATTGTGACATGCTAATTGGATTGTGAAGGTGGATCATAAATAGGCTGCTAAATTGGACACAAAGAGAGTTCATCAATGGTACCCTCTCAAACTGGAGAAAGGTAACTAGTGGGGTGCCACAGGGTTGATTCCTAGGCTCAGTGCTCTTCAATATATGTATTAATGATTCAGATGACCAAGTACAAGGAATGATAAACAAATCTGCAGAGAATACAGACTTGGGTGAAATAGAGAACACCCTGGAAGACAGAATGAAGATCCAGAGCAATCTTGATAAGTTTGAATGCTGGGTTGAAAGCAACAGAATGAAATTTAATAGGGACAAGTACCAAGTCCTCCACCTAGGAAAGAAAAACCAAATGCACCGATACAAGATAGGGAATATGTGGCTTAACAGAACTGAAAAAGAAGAAAGACCTTGGAGTTCTTGTGGACACCAGGCTAAATATAAGCCAACAATACTATGCAGGCACAAAAGGGGCAAATGTTATTTTGGGATGCATTAATAAAAGTATTACTTTCAATTCACGACAAGTAATAGTTTTCCTGTACTCCTCACTAGTCAGACCCCTATCTAGAATACTGTGTCCAGTTCTGGGCCCCAAGATTTAAGAAAGATGAAGAAAAATTAGAAAGGGTCCAGAGGAAGACAACAAAAACAATCCAGGGTTTGGAAACAGTGCCCTATGAGAAGAGACTGAGAACTGGGCATGTTCAGCCTTGAGAAGAGAAGACTGAGGGGGACATGATACCCTTCTCTAAGTACCTTAAAGGCTGTCACAAAGAGGAAGGACAAAATCTCTTCATACCAGAGTGTAGGATGCTGCTCAGATTCAGGCTAAATGTCAAGAAACGTTTCCTAACTGTCAGAGCAATACTACAGTGGAACTAGTTGCTCTCCCATAGAGACATTCAAAAAGAAACCAGACAGCCACCTGAGTGGGATGTTGTAAATTGGTATCCTGCAACAGAAGACAGTTGGACCCAGTGGACTTCCAATTCCACTATGACTAAGTTTGCAAAAGTTCTGTGTTAAACTTAGGTGCAAAGTGGGACATAACCTTTTCTGCACACCATTTTTGCATTGTTATTGCATATTAGATATTCGCAATGCTTGAGTATATAGCAACTTATAACAGCAAAATATTACCACCACCATCAATTTCATTTCTGGGACGTTCACAATGATTTATAAAAATGAATACAATAGTAAAAATGGATACGATACAATACAAAACAATACTCAATGTGGTGTGGTAGAGTGCTGAACTGGGGGTCTGGAAGATCCAGGTTCTAGTCCATTCTTTGGTTAATCAGTCCCTCTCAGCCTAACCTACCTCACAGGGTGGGTGTTGTTTTGAAGACAAAATGGAGCTATATAAGTCACCTCACAAAAGAAGAAAGGGCAGGATGGAAATGCTACATAATAATAACAAAAATATGAAATGGTTTAAACAATTAAAATGATTTCAATAAAAACTAGACATGTTAAAATATCCTATCACATGCCATTACATTCCAGGGAGTACTGGGCAGTCTTAACTTGGTGTTGAAAAAATGACAATGTTGGCACCAAGAGGGCCCCAGAGGGAGATAATCTTATATTGGTGGGGGGCACTGCAGAAAAGATCCTCTTCCTTGTGGACTCTTTGCCATCCTTCCTTGGAGGTGGCTGTTCGAAGGAGATCTTTGCTGTAGATTGTCTAGGTAATTTTAAGCTGAGAGGGGACATTCTGTGGTTCCAAGCTATGCTGGATTCTGAATTGCACTTAGAAGCATATGAGCAATATGCAAGAGGGCAAGTATTGGGCATATATGTGCAAACCTTTTGTTTCCTATTTATTTATTTATTTATTTATTTGGAACATTTATATGCCGCCCCATTCGCAACAGCCTCGGGGCGGCTTATTAATTAATCAGTTAATCAGTTATTAATTAATCAGTTAATCACTTATTAATCTGATTGTCTCATTGTGCATAAGTTACAGGTTTCTGCACAGTCTCACAGTAATATAATATATAAAAGTATAGATAATTGACTCAGGCTATCCCTGAGCAGATGGGAACATAGCTAGGTTCCCAGTCAAAGCTGGTATAAGGTGCCCTATTCCACTGTGGCCATCTGAGTCTGAAGTGACAGAGACCAGTCAAGGAGAGCCCCCAAGCTATGAATCTGCTCTTTCAAAAGAAGTAGAACCCAATCCTGAACAAGCTGAACACCATCCAGTCCAAAGAACCAGCAATAACAGTGTTTCAATCTTATTTATTTATGTATTTATTTATTAGAACATTTCTATGCCACCCCTTGCCAAAGCCTCGGGACGGCTTACTTGTCTGTATTGAGTTTCAGTTTGTTTGCCTTCCTCCACTGTTGTAGGCAAGCACCAATTTTGCACATCTATAGCCTCACCCAAGGAGAATAAAAAGGAGAAATAGAGTTGCAAGCCATCAGTGTACTGATGACAGTACACTCCAAAACTCTAAAATCCACTGAGGGGTTTCATGTAACTGTTAAATGACATAAGAGATAAGACCAACCCCCAAGGAACCACAACAAAACATAAAAAGCATTAAAAATAAAGCTAGAAATGACCAACATGTAATTTGACTGAATTCAGACAGGGAAGGAAGGAGCTGGAATCAGAAATGGAAGATACCTGGTTTTGCTTAACGTTTCTGTTCCATGAATACAATTACTGGACAACACTTTCCTGAGGCAGATTTCTTCCATCTCCCTAGACTAGAGGATGCTTTTTATTAAGTTCGGAATAAATACACATTCTTCATTTCCTGTTAGTACCTATTAAAATTCTGAGACTAGAGAAATAGGCATACTCTGGAATAGGAGTCTTACCAGAATACTCTAGTATTGTGGTTATTTTTCTGGGACATGAAAAGGTAATAAATGTACAGATCTCCATAACTGTGGTTGCAACATCCCCCACTTCACCCTGTGTGACTCCACTTGCTTATAACTCAGGAAAATTCTCATATTGCTTGTCTCTTCAACTTTGGTCTGATTGCAGCTTCTGCCTGCTGCACGGGTTGGCACAATACAAGATATTTGCTTTTTCCTCAAATGTAGTGGCAGTGACTAATAAGGGCTAGCCACTGAGCGAAGCCAAATTGTGTGTGTGTTTGGGGGGGGCGGGGGAGGGAGAGAGAGTGAGAGACCTTTTTCAGTTAGGCTTACACTGATTCAGATGCTAACAGGTTTCTGCATCCTGTTTTGAAAGAAATATATATGATCCAGCAGCAAATGACATTACCCTCTGGTGGGCTAGACTCTAAAGGCACAGGAACATACTTTTGTTTGGTTCATTGGAGCAGGTCATTGCTTGATGTGCAGGATTAGGAGGCTTATATGACCAACTAATTGACCAGAGTTACTGATATAAGTATGAGCTCCATAGGACAAAACAAAAGGCTGGATGTGCAGAGCCAGTCATTGCCTCTGAACTTTTGAGAACCATGTGGCTGTTTTGTGCACCCAACTATAGTAGAATCCCTTTCTGTTCACTGATCCTTTTCTGATCACTCTGACTGGAGTTGATTTAGCAGCAACTTGAATCTCTGGACTGGCTATACTTTTCATTACAGTATGCTGAGTATGTAACATATACTGGCTATGTTCGTGCAAGTATTCAAATCATTCCATATTATGCATCCAGACTATACATATTATAGGATGCAATGGTGCAGTGGGTTAAACTGCTGAGCTGCTGGGCTGGTTGATCGAAAGGTTGACAGTTTGAATCTGCAGACGGGGTGAGTTCCCGTACTCTGTCCCAGCTCCTGCCAGCCTTGCAGTTCGAAAGCATACAAATGCAAGTAGATAAAAGGTACCACTTCAGTGAGAAGGTAACAACATTCCGTGCACTTTGGTGTTCAGTCATGCTGGCCACATGACCACAGAAACTGTCTGCAGACAAACACTGGCTCACTTGGCTAGGAAACAGAGATGAGCACCGCCCCCAAGAGTCAGTCATGACTGGACTTTAGTGTTATGGGGAAACCTTTACCTTTACTTTTACCATAAATTTAAGTGTATGTGTGAACACAGAGCAGCACATGTGTTAATTCAAATAAGCATGAGCATGTTTGCAGATGCATCTTAATGGGAAGTGAACCTATAAGCCTTCTGCTCTCACTCTCTTATCACTGTACCAGTAAGTGTTACATGGACACCAGAGGGAGTAAAAGGTTAAATTAATCATACTATTATAAGAACTTACACCTTGAATTCACAGGGACCCACACCTTGAACATAGGTCTACCATTTTGGGCTCCCTTTGTTAAAATGCAGTTGCTAGGCTCTTCCGCATGGCTGTCAGTTGAAGGCTAGCACCTCTGCCCAACAGCAAAGAAATCTCCATCCATTTTCCCTATTGGAAATGAAGTTGCAAGGAGCATCGTGACTTCAGCTGAGGGTTAATGAAGTGTTAAAGCATGGATGCTGAGCAGTGTCAAACAATGATTCCTACTCATCGCTACTTTGTCCTTTAGGAAAGAGTTAGGTAACAGCTAACCATGATTTGTTTCATTTCTATACTGCCCAATAGCTGAAGCTTCCTGAACCATATACAAAAGTACATACCACAATTCAGGATTTGTGAATACATGATGTAATATCTCTAACATACAAAATTTAAAACAGCTTAAACAGCTAAAAGAGTTACAGTATGATACTGTACCTGGCCATGTGCCTGAGAATAGAGGACAGTATGATATTAATTGTGGGAAGCATTACTTCTTGTTGCTTGGGTGGTAGGTCCTGTTAGTGCAATAGAAGTGGCAGGAACACAGCAGCAGTAATGGATGCTGCTCATTGAGTTGCGGAGCTTTTCAAGGATGTTCTGGTCCAATCACTCCACTGCTAATGCAAATATCCGTATTTCCACTTGCTACCTCACTGTTGCTGTATATTTGTGGATGCTAAAAGCGTTGTGTATGTTTTTTATTATCAGCTCCAAGTCCCACCTCAGCTGTGCCCTATGTAGCAGTAAAGTGCATAGATGTGCGGAAGAACCATCACAGAACCAACTGGTTCATGCCCTGGGGACCTAACCAGTGTGAAAAAATACGAGACTTGGATGAAGCTATGAGCAGGCAAATAGAAGCCAATGACATTGTGTTTTCGATTCACATGCCTCTCCCGAACAAGGAGATGAGCCCTTGGTTCCAGTTCATGCTCTACGTTTTGCATATGGACATTGCCTTCAAAACGGACAACCAAATTAGTAAGTACCTGGAAAAATTACCACATTAATATAATAAGAATGTTATAAAAATGAGGGGATAGTCCTGTATGTGTGTTAGAAGTAAGTGTAAATGAAAACAAAGCAATTATCTGGTTACATTGCTAGTGGAAGTGGCCAGCCCTACCTCCTCATTCCAATGGAAGTTCTTACAGCCCCATGAAAATACTATGCACAGCTAGAATACCCTACTGAGTGAGGTGAGCTCTGGGTTGGGAGGGAAAGGAGTTCCCCCAAAATTGGGCAGAAGGATCTTCCATGAACAGAGCCTTTCTCTGGATCCAAATCATAGCTTATTTTCTGCTTACATTCTGTCTTGGATATCATATTTGATGCGAAGAACTTCACTGATTCCTGTGTTACTCTGAGCATGGGTTCTTGAAGTCACCACCATTTCACACTTCCATTTTTCTATTGCCATTGCCATTGTGGCTAGCGGAGCTGAAGGAAGCAGGGAGGGGACCACTCATTTATTCAACATAATTGATAGAATTCTTAAAAGCTAAAGGCCACCTGTCTTTCAAGTAAAAATATTCATTTAGGAGCATTAAGCTTTTTTACGGGGATACTAGCTTTTTCTAAGAGGAGCAATTTCAAGTGGGAGTGTCTCTTTCTGATGCAGTACCATCGTGATACAATCATGTTAAAAACTAATTTGAATTTGATCCAGACTTCTTCCTGTGATGCAGCTTGGAATGCACCAGTGTGTTTATTACAAAGGACTAATGCATTACTGTTGCAAAAAGTATGAAGGTGAAAGTTGCTTTGAGATCATTCTTGGCTTGATTCTAATTTGAGTGAATATGACTCTACCCTGCCTTTGCCATTTCTAGACGGCAAAAGAGAGTACAGCCTGGCCTAAGTCCAGGCCTGAATTCAGTCTGGCAGCTTTCCTGAATCTGTAGGCTTCATCAGTCATCCACTACTCTCCCTTTCTTAATTCACATTCCTAACTTAGTTTTTGTATTGACATTACGTAATAGTTGGCATGCAGTCCCTGGTAATTTAACCTCTGCTACTGAAGCTTGCAGCTGCTGGTATTTGTTGCTCCCCATTATTGGTCAGGTAACACCTGATTATTGATTCCATGTCCCATAATGTAACCTGCCCTTCCTTCAAGGCATGGCAGCAAAGTTGCCATTTTGCCATCTCAGAACCCCTCTGATTCAAGTGAGACTGAAGAATGGTGACTTGCCTAAGCCATTCCCAGTGGGCTTCTTGAATAAGGAGATAATGCAAAAGCCCCTTCTTGTGGGGACCATTAGAGTATTTACAAGTAAATATAAGAAGTCATTTATATCTATAGCAAGTGTCCCTACCCTTTTTGTTACTTGTAGACACATTTTGTAGTCACTTCCACAAAATGACCCTTACAGAGAATGTAGCTAAGTTGCATAATGTGCTTCAAAGCCACCAAGAGATAACGTATTGTCTGAACCTGGGAAGGTTTTATTAAGAGTAGCTTAAGTTTAACTTATCAGCCATCCTGCAAGCCATGGTTTGCCCCATGCTGGTGTGCCCTTTTAGCTGAATTCAGATGACAGAACCCAGTGAGGAAATGAAACATAGAAACATAAAAAGTGAGTCAGAAGGGGCCTCCTGGACCATCGCATCTATTATATGCACAAACTGCACTTGCATTATCCCCAACTCTTCTGTTTGGTCAAACCCCTAAAAAGAGGAGGCACTGGCTGGAGGAGGGGCAATGCATGCTGACCAAATCCAACAAGCACCCACCTGTACATTGTCTGGTCCAGGCTGCAGGAAAGTGAAGTCCCCATCCCTTGTCCTCCTTTAATAGGTCAGGACTAGGCAGCTCCTTGCTGGTAAAGTGGGCAGCCCACAAAACCACCTGAAGATTCTACAGCTAAGAGTGCTTCACAGTTCCCACTCTCATTTTTTCCTCAAATTCCTGCAAAGCAGTTTTTTTGGAAAGTACATATTGTGTCTCCCAACAAGTTCCTTATACATACAAAGAACTTGAGTGCTTTGCAAAGTCCTATTTTATGGTGTGGGAGTGACCCTTGGCTTGCCAACAGCTGGTCAGTAGCAAGTTCAGGGAGCAACAAAAAAACCTGGCACCTTTATGTTTTTTAATCTTTAAAATTAAAAATAAAAGTTTGAAATGAAGAGTTTTGAGGATGCCACCAGTGGTCTCCAGTACTGGCAGTTCCATGCTTAGTTTTCTTCCTTTCCCCCTTTTCATAATGTTGAAAGCCTGGCTCTCATTGGACTGTTTGGGCAGGAAGGACCCCATAATTTTGTGTGTTGAAATCCTTGCAGCATGGCATTTTAGAAGCTTTGGAGCCCTCTGCAGATGTTTGCTTCACTCATTCATTGAAAGAATGTGTAGTAGAGGGGAATGAGTCTCCTGCGACACACATGCTGACCTCACACCCAGCAGTGCCACCTGGACACGTACACAAGTCTGTGTGTGTGTGCGTGCACCCCCGCCCCCAACCTCCACATGCTATGAAGGGGAGAGGCTTTGTGTTTCAGTTCTTTGGCCCAATATGCTATGCTGACTTTGGAAAGGCTCAAGGCCTGTTCTCTTTGTGCTGTGAACTGCCCAGAGAGCTTTGACTATTGGGCACTATGGGAATACAATAAAATAAAGCTAGTAGTGACATCAAGGGCAAGGACTGTGTATGGAGCAAATCACTGAAGAGTGCTTAACTATGACCAAGCACTAATCCTCTTTTTTCCCTGAACCTCTCTCTTGACATGCAAATCTTAGTTCACTACTGAATTCTCTGGAAGGTCAAAGGGAGATCATTGTCTGTTAGCCTTAACCTTGTCACATAGAAATAATGCTGTCTTGACTAGCGGATGAACTTAGGAAATAAACACTGTATAAAGTATCTCCTGCTTTGCCCTGGAATTACAACTCTACAGGTAAAGCCATTGATTGATTGATTGATTGATTGATTGATTGATTGAATATGCTACCTAATAGCAAAAAGGTCTTGCGTGACTCTTACTCTTACAGTAATGAAAGCCTAGGAGAAAAGAAGTGTCTTTGCCTGGTGCTGAAAGGATAACTGTAGCGGTACCTAATGAGCATTTTAGGAGAAGACCATGATATTCCATGAAAAGAGCCACAACTGAGAATCTTTTAGCCACCCAGCTAACTTCATTTGGTGGAGCTATTCAGAGGAAGGCCTCCAATGACAGTGAGGGCGGGCATGCACGCGCTGGGCGAGGCAGTGGCTTGCTC